ACCAGGGAATTGAGAGACTGGAGGTCATGGGTGACCTTGACAAGAACAGTTTCAGAGAGTGCTGGGGGTTAAGCCCTAACTAGAGCGGGTTTAGAGAGGATGGAGAAGAGGAATCGGAGATGCCCCAGAGAAACAACTGTTTCAAGCCGCAAAGGGGAATGGAGAAATCAGACAGTGCCTGGCAGGGAATGTGGAATCAAGATAAGTTGTGTATGTGTGTGTTTAAGGTGAGAGAAATAAGAGCATATTTGTTTGATGATGGGAATACTCTAACACAGAGCAAAGAAAATGAACATTTAGAGAAAGGAGGGAGTTGCTGCAATTCTCCGTCAAGTAGGTGAAGCGAGTTCACCTGTGATTTCTGTAGCTCGAGCACAGATGGGTCATCTGTGGTTACGGGCTGGGGGAGGCAACAGAGCACACGAAGGTGCAAACGCTGGGACATAAGCAGATGTGGTGGTGGGAACAGGCTCAGCTTACAAGTAGGATGGGAAGAAGGTTTGGAGGGTTGAGGAAAGAGGAGAAGTTTTGAAACTGCTCATCGCCTAAGAGTTGCAAAGAGCAAATAGCCGAGGAGAACCAGGAAGATTGGTCCGTGTAAACAAACGGACTTAAGTGTCTGAAGTAGTTAAAGACCTCATCACAGTGGTCTCCTCATATCACGGAATCCCAGCGCAGCATATTAAGAGAAGCTGAAGGGTGAGAAGCGCCATGTGGTTGCTATAACAGATACAATACTTTACTCAACTAAGCCAGTACGTGGAGACCGCACTGCGCCCACTGCAGGAAGCGCATGCCTCTTCTTTGTCAGCGGGAGCTCAGCGTGAGGCTTGGCAGTCGTCACGTCTATTGCTCTGCATACCTCATCTGGCTGGTCGCAGTGCTTGAAACAAATCTGAGAGGGAAGTGTACGAGGGCTTCAGGACATTAGAGAATCTGAAGGCTGTTATAGCAATCAATTTCAGAAAAGGTAGATTAAAAAAAATTAAGTCTCTGGTATAAAAGTTGGTGAGGAGAAATTTAACTCCAACCCAACACATTTCCTTCTGATAAATAAAGTGTATTAGTTATAGGCTATTAACTTCAGCATTAAACCCAAGATACATTTGTTAACTTTAGTGGGTAATCTGCACTAAAAAAAAAAAATCAAGTCTCTTTCTCCATGGGGAATTACACTATTTTTCTTTATCACTTTGGTACTTTGTTAGTTTGACATAGGCATCATGGGAATAAGGAATGCTACAATAGAGAATTTAAGGGATGGCAATAATTCTGAAATATTCACAACCTACAGTCTTGGTTAAAACACACAATGTTGCTAGCGATGTTGTGAAATAAATTGGCTGGAGACAGAAGACCTGGATTCTATCCAACGTAGCACAGTTTACCAAAACCAGAGGGACCTCGTTTTAAGTCCAAATTTTGCTACTTACTGTGATACTGATCAAGTCATTTAAACACCCTATGCCTCAGATTCCTCATCTCTAAAATGGTGGTTGTGAGAATTAAATGATTTAATATGTTTAAAGCACTTAGCCTAGAGCTTAAGACATGGGACCCCCAGGAGATGATGATGACGATAATGATGTGATGTGACAATGTGATATAATGATGTGATGCTGATGATGGTGATGGTGATGATGATTATGATCATGATCATGGTAATGATGGTGATGATGATGATGATGGTGATAATGTGATGATGAAGATGGAGATGATGGAGATGATGGTGATGATGATAGTGATGATGATGATGTGATGATGATGATAGTTATGATGATGAAGAAGAAGAGGAAGAAGAGCAGACAGAGGATAAAGGAGGAAGAGGAGGGGAAGAAGGCGGATCAGGTAGTGGCGGTGGTGGTAGACGGTGGTGGTGGTAGGTGGTGACTCCCAAGTCTACGACTAAGAAACAGTTCCATGGACAAATCGCTTGCCCTCTCTGGGCCCAGTAATTTGCCTGCCACACTCTAGGCACTCAATAAATGCTATGTGAGTGAATGAGTGTTCTGATAATTTCTAAAGCTCATCCCAGCTCCACAACATGCAGTAGTCCTATCAATGTGTAGGAATCTTTCCCTGGATCTTAACACTTAAACTGTGGCATGAAAAAATGAATGCATTCTTTACGGTACTTGTAAAAAATCAATTATAGAGTCTCAGCTAATTGCAAACTTATTTCGTCCACTTTAAACTATTACACCTTTAGGGAGCAGGAGGAAAGGGAATAATCAGGAAGAGGAATAAGTGAAAGAAGAAGTAGGAGGGCAGCTCAAAGCAGCGTGGGGAGAAAACCACCTGTTTCCTGACCCTCGGGGTGGTGCCTGGTTGTAGGCGAGACCTGACCACCTGGTTACCCTGCAGCAAAACCTCGGCCTTAGTGTGCACATTTACAAAGAGTGCTCCTAACAACACTCCTGAACAGAGAGGGTTCAGTCCATCCAGAACCACAGGTGGTCTTTCTGAAGAGATCTCACCTGCCAAAACAGGCAGGCTGGGCCGTTTCTGCTGGGCACAAGGCCACTTCTCAACTGCTTGTATTAACTCCCAGCTTTGTGGATATAGAGAAATTCTGGCTTGTTTCCTCTGGCCGGTGAGCCAGCACATCTGCAGTATGAATTAGTTCATGAGATACAAGTTCCTTACAATACAAATTCCGGCAAAGGTTCCGACTGAAACTCTGGTGCCTTGTGGGTCCAGATCTCTGCTTACATTTTTTTTTTTGCCTATGCAACGCTGATTTAGGCCAAGTCTGAAACTATGGGCACCCTAATGAAAATAGACAGCTATATTATTTTAGCCGTCTGTGGAGTGTTTGCAGGGCCTCCTCCAACCTGCTCTGGACTCTACAGCTCTGGTTTGGTGTTCCTAGTTTTGTTTCTGGCCTCTGGTTTCACTCCTAGATTTTGCCTCTCCACCAGTTTTCCTTCCTTCCTCCCCCCGCCCTTCCCTTTCCCTTTTCTTTTTTTTTTTTAAAGATTGGCACCTAGGCTAACAACTGTTGCCAAACTTCCTTTTTTTTTTTTTTTAAGGATTGGCACCTGGGCTAACAACTGTTGCCAATCGTTTTTTTTTTTTTTTTTTCCTGCTTTATTTCCCAAACCCCCGCCCCGGTACATAAGTGTATATCTTAGTTTCAGGTCCTTCTAGTTGTGGGATGTGGGACACCGCCTCAACGTGGCATGACGAGTGGTGCCATGTCCACGCCCAGGATCCGAACCCTGGGCCGCCGTAGCAGAGTGCATGAACTTAACCACTCAGCCACGGAGCCGGCCCCTCCCTTCTCTTTTCTATCCCTGGACATCATCTCTCAACCCACGCTTGGCTTTCCCAACCAGGGTTTAGTACAGACTAACATTTCAGACTTGCATTTTTCCAGGGGTCTATTCTCTGTCTTCTCTAGCAAACTCCTAGCCATCCTTTACGAGTGAGTTTATGCACAGTCTTTGAAACGTCTTCTCCAGAAGAGTGAGAATATCAGATTCCTCCCCTGTGCATTTTGTGTCAGGATTACCATTGGTCACTCATTGTTTTGTCTCCCTAACATGACTTCATCCTCCTTAAGAAGAGAGTGATCATCATTTATTCCCAAGATCAGGACCAGAACATGCTGTTGGTGCTCACTTCCTGTCTATGCGATGGGTAAACACAAACACAGAATTGATTCTTCCTTAAAACAAAAGGTAAAATTACTTCCTCAGTCAAACAAAAGGCCTTGGCTCTCTCTATGTTCTGGATTTCTGCACGTCCTCCAGCAGTATTCAAAATACACTCCTCTCATTTCTCCCCAATTCCCTTTTATAAAATACGTTTGCCCGGAGAGCCATCCACTTCTTTCATTTTTAAATAAGCTAATCTAAGGATCAGAAATTCATACTGAAGCCACAGCAGAGGACACAGGAGGAGCTACTGCGCCGGTAGGAGACTAAAGGCAGAGTGATTGCCAGTTGATTCTGGAGAGTCTGTGAAGCATGAGATGCATTTCAGAAGCAGTTTGACAGCAAGAAAACATGATGACACTGTGCCACTCAACAAATCAGTGGTGGAAAGAGCACTAAATGGGAAGTCAGGAGACAGGCTTCCAGCCACGTTTGTGCCATTAACTAGCTCTGTGACCCCTGAAAATTCACTTAATCTCTCTGAGCCTCGTTTATTATAAAAGCCAGGGTTTTAACTAGACCTCTAGCATTCCAATATAAAGGTCCTCTGACTTGAGGATTAATTTTCAAGTGCATCTAACTGAGGCTAAGACTCAATGCAAACAACATCCAGGGGGACAACAGGAGAGGCGCTATGACTATACTGCTTGAGGGGAATGCGACAAAGCCTGCAGACCACGGGTGGGCAGACATTTCCGTCTCATCTCCCATGACTGAACTCTAAAATTATTTCAGACCCAACCAAAGGAAATAGATTATGTCCTGGACCAAAACAGGTATTATGAACATACTACCTTTTGCCTCTGATTCTATTTTGTTTTGTTGTTTAAAACAATCTCCCCAAACAAGAAAAGTAGATTTCACCCAAGTTAAAGTTAAGGATAGAAAATGAATTTATCTGCATCTGTGCACTGGGCTCCACTGTTTTGTTTATTTGGCAGCATTCTAGAAGAATCCTTTTAGTTCCTTTTGTCCCCTCTCTCTAGTGAGGAGGGAAGGCTAGGAGAATATAAGGAGGAATAAAGAACATGGAGAAAGGAGGAGAGCTCAGCTCTGTCTCTCCCTGTTCCTGTTGCCTAGCAACATCTCATATCCACATCTGAGAAATAATGATTCAGGGAGGTGACATGGAGGAACCATTTCTCATGAAGGAGCAACCCAATTTTACCAGATACCCATTTCCTTAGAAGGATAATAAGGTGACTAGGACAGCAAGAGCTCTGTGGATCCATTTCTGCAGCCAAAGAGAGAATGGGAGAGGCAAAGCACAGAACACAAACTATGGAAAGGTGGCCGGGAGCAGGACGTGGTTTCTCCCGTGCACATGGACTCGAGACTCACCGCTTATCCACTTGGCTTCAGGATCGTGAATTCTGAAATCCTCGCTGAAGAGATCTTCCACGGTGACCTTCTTCTTTTGAGACAGACTGTTATCTTCCGCTAGAAAAGAACAAGGCAAATAGTTAAACTTTTAATTTCTTTGGCAAAAAGAGAGGACCATAAAACATTCTAATTGCCATGCAGAAATAGTATATATAGGAAAACACGTAATGTCTATAAATAAATGCTGAACAAAGCCAGTCATGCTTTCTGTTTTTAAGTAAACTATCAAAAACTATGGTAAGGGGCTTCTGATTCAGTAAAATGGCATCACTTCACCCTCTCTGCTTGCAACACATAAGTGATCATATTCCTTAGGTATGGAGGTATATAACTGTCTCAAGACGGATTTATGTGCAGTAAGGTGGAAATGGTCAAGAGAGGCAGGAACAAATGTCCAGGATGGACCTCAACTGCATTATGTAATCATTCATCAAGCATTCATTAAATTCCAACTATTGGCAGCATGTTGGGTGCTGGGAGTTAAAGACAACTCACCTATGCCTCAGGTATTTACTCCCCAAACACCTCACGTGTCCCTGGCCGTCTCTGGGTTGGAGATTTGTTCTTGTATAGAGAGGATCAGGCCCCAGATGTCTGTGAGCAAACTACCAGATTCTGCCTGCCTCATCTTGGTCACTCCGCTTGGGAGGAAGCGCCTGACACAAGCCTTGAAGGCCACATACTCATATCCCTCCCAAGGGGACAGGTTTAGTTAATGGCACCAGCGGTGAGAATTTTAGAAATCTGGCAGCTTTTATCCTATTTCCTGAGGTCAAAGCTTCTGGAGTTTTAGGTCTGCGTCAGAAGAGGCTCTCTGCATTAGAGAGACAAAAGCCCACTCGTCTACTTTGAGACGACAAAGGGCTGGCCAGGCGTCTGACCTGTGAGCCTCAGCTAACAGACTAACCACACGAGGGCAGGCCGTCCAGCCATGGTCACTTCTGTTAGACCCAGAAGACACTCTTTCTCTTAACCCTTTCTCACATACATCATCTTTGCCTCTTTTAATTTTGTTTCAAAATCTGTGGCAGGTTGGGAAAATAACAAGAATTTTTGTTAGATTACATAATTAAGTAAGAATGAATAACCTCTGAATGAAATCCCCAAAGCTCCTCCTAGGATTCTAGTGCATAGATTTCATTACATCTCCTATGGTTTCTTTCTCGTGGCTTCTCTGGATGCCATAGATTACTGAAGTAGTCAGAAAAGTCTCGTGTTACTTTGTGCACTGACTGATTTCTTGAATATCAAATAGGATTGACGTGTGTGAAAGTCTTTTGAGAATGACAGAATGATTCAGTTCGAGGTGGCTTTCTTGGTGGACCTGAGTGTACGTGGAGCGACACTGAGTGTATGTGGAGCTCTCCCAGGTGCTCAACAAAACACGTTAAACCAAACCAAGGTCTTCCCTCAAGGACCTTTCTATCTGCAATGGAAGCAGCCCCAGAAAAAGACACACGGCTCCAAACACGAAGCATTTCACCACGGAAAACAGACAATAAATGAAAATTTCAAAGATCGCTAGACAGATCTAACAAAGTTATATTGTGAGATAGTATTAAGAAGTATACTTGCAACTAGTATATAAATAAGTCCTGGGGATCTAATGCATGACACAGTGATGATAAACAACAATCCTGTATTATAAACATCAAACTTACTGAGAGACTAGATCTTGATTATTTCCACCACAAAAAAGAAATGGTAATTAGAGGAGACTTGACGGAGTTGCTAGCTAACGCTACGGAGGCAACCACAGCGCAAATACAGTATCAAATCAACATGTACACCTAAGACCTACACAATGCTGTATGTTAAATATGTTTCAATAGAAATACATAAATACAACAAAACTAAAACAAACAAAAAAGAAGTATAAAAACTTCTGAGACACTCAAGTATATAATTAGAAAATAATCATATGAAAACTTAAATTTTCTCTAACTAAACTTCAGTATTCCAGGATGATTCTAGCTCCACATTTTGAGGTATCCACGTGTCTAATAAGAAAGTCTGTAAGACTGCTGTTTAGACAAACTTTGGGTAAAGATGGAAAGGCAATTTATTCACTTTCTGAATTTTTTCTTTTCACAAATGACTGTTCTATTCATCCCAAAATGTGTTTTATTTTTTTAAAAACCTGTTACTTCATTTGCTTTTTAGAAGATATTTAACAAGCATAGGAGACTTTTAAATAGGGAGAGTTAGTGGGGGAGGCATTACGATACACACTCTAAGAAGTGCTCTGTCCACACTCAGCTCCGCCTCCTTCAGACACGCACTGCTGGCCTCTCTGGACCTTGAGGACTTGTTCACATATCCAACTACCATCTACGTCACTGGTTTATAGTTTGATTCATTCCAAAAGTCCTTTGAGGTGGTGACAAGCATGATGACTGCCAAGTTCCAGGAACCGTGCTGAGCCCTGAAGAACCACAACTGAAAGACCTCACAACTGACTTTCAGAAGCTCACAGAGAGTGGGAGCCAAAGTCGAAAGAACAACCACATTGTGACAGTGCTGAGAGCAGAGGACCTGCCATGTTAACATTTAGGGAGACTGGGGAAGGAAAAAGCAGGAGGAATTCCAGAAAGAGTTCCTTGAGGAAAGAACCCACTAGCCAAGATAAAAGAGACAGAAGAACACCCAAGCCAGGAAGGATTTCAAGGGCATGAAGGTGTCCGCGAATGCAGTATATCCAGGAAATTGTGAGTGTGTTGGCGTTGGCGCAGTAGAGAACGTGAGTTAGAAATGTCTAGAGATAAAGGTAGATCCTCTCATTATTTTTGATGTTCTGAAATTTCATTAGAAAATGTGCACTTTGGATTTTCTTTAAAAATTCTGCTTACCACTCACCGACATTTTCAGTGTAAGAATTGCCTTTCTCCACATCAGGAACATTACCAGTAATGATCTCATTCAATATTGCTTCTCCGTCAGTCTATTCCCTCCGGCCCGAACGCCAACTGGACCTGTGCAGGGGTTTCTAGGTCCAACCTCCACATCCCTAGCTTTTCCACACTTTTATGTCTTTGGGAGCATGTTCATGATCTCTTCAGTCCCATCTTCTACTTCACCCACTTTATCTTTAGCATGTCCAGGCTGCTCTTTCATCCCACTACTGCATCTTAAGACTTTACATAATTATATTTTAATTTCTGACATTCCTAATTAGGTCTTTTTCACGGTCATATACTATTATAGTCGCAAGCTCCTTTGTCACATTAGTATTTTCTTTAAAAAGCCTAAAATGTCACTTTCTGTTTTCCCTACTGATTATATTTCCTTGGATGTAAGTCCACCTGTGTGTGAAGCTGGTGTGCTGCTTCCTAGTGGAGGGGTTTCTGCGGGTTCTTGTGATTCTTGGTTGTCAGCTTCTCCCCAGCAAGCGTCCTGAGTCACCAGAGACTACTGGTGCTGTGGCCACAACAGCGTCCTGGGCAGACTGAGGCTCTGTCTGGGTAATGGTTCTCCCCAGGCCATGTGTGGCCATTTGGGCTGGAGCCCTCTGCCCTCTGTGGGCGATGTGACTTGAGACCCTCTGGCTGTGAAGCCAGTTTTCAGGCAGGGGCCCTTGTCCAGCCCCTGGCCTCTCATGGACACCAGTATCCCAGCCCTGCCTGTCGGGCCTGGCCTCAGTCTCTCTGCCTTGAGGGTGGCAGTGACGTGGCATTACTTGCCGCTGTAGGTTTCTACCTGGTCCTTCTTTCAAGGACAACTTTCTATTCCACTTCTATGGAGAACTCCTTTTCTTGTTTTGGAGTGCAGCTATGTTTTTATCATTTATTCGCCTCCCATTTCTATATGCTTGAAGTCAAAAGGGAAAGATCTCTGTGCTCAATCTGCCATCTTAAACTGGAAGCCAACATAAAGGTGGAGATACAAGTGGCTGGCGGCTTTTATAATTTGGATTTCATCCTAAAGGCAATTCGGGGACCACTGAAAAGTACGGTTTCCTTCAGCCCTTCAGTTGGAGAACCATGTAGCACGTGTACTTAACTTGGCAGCTTGGTTGGCTCACGGGCCTGCAAAGGCATCTTGCAATCTGTAGTGATGGAGTGAATCTTTACATAGGTCAGAATGTAATGTAAACTGTGAAGTCTCCTTTCCTTTCCTAAGATGCTTGTTAAATAGTTACGTTGTTAAACAGCACAGCCACAGAAGAACATATCGAAACCTCTTCTCTGCAGACTTTTAAAATTAGAAATAAATTCTAGTACCCTAAAACGGATTAATCTGCAGCATAACCTTTGAGGTGATTTCAACCACTACAAATAGAGGTTAGCTATTGACAAACCCAATTTGGTAACAAAGAAAATCTACCCAGATTTGTCAGAAGTCTCTCGTAAGGTTCTGCTTTTGTTAGCAACTGGAATAAGTGACAACTCTAAACACTTTACGGTCTTCAGAGTACACTGACATTTATTACCTCTTGATCCTACAAGACGGAGGAGGAACGAAAGCCATTTTATGGAAGGTAAACCTGAGCAACTGAGAGGCTAAATGGCTTCTCCAAAGATGTATGGGGAGTCGGTAAAACTAAAACTAACCATGTTTGCAGGAGAACCTGAATATTGACATTATTCACAGAATCTGGCTTGTTCATAACCTATTCCAGAAGTGGGATACTAATAAAATCACAAAATACAGAAAATCTCAGGCAGGTATCATTAATGATGATACTGATAAAATGTTACATTCTCCAGGAAAAAAAAAAGAGTTATCTGTAAATAAAGAAAAGGGTAAAACCATTTTTATGAACAAATTTCCTTAATCAGAAAAAACTTAGTGTCTGAGTCAGATCAACGAGGAACAAACACTACAATGACTGGCACACAGCAGGTGTTCAGCTCTCGATGGGTACCATGGCAGACGTCAGGAGCTCAGTGTTTTCAAAACTCAAACTGGGGTGGGCAAGTCAGATACAGCTTCCTAGAGGAGATGGACCCCAATCTGAGGCTCAGATTAAAAGCACTCTTCACATTTAGAATAAGTCACTGAACACATTCGTATGTTATTTCTACAGAAGTTGAAAATATTTGTTTGCTACCCTACAA